GAATGCAGCAGATAAGGAGAGGGAAAGGCAGAGAGATCTCCCTGTGATGATAACGAGCCTCTGCTCTTCCCTTCAGCAGTTCCTTTGACAGGGACGTGGCGCAGCCTCCCAGAGGATTCAAAGCCTTACAACGGCTTTGCTCACACGATGTACTTGAATGGGGTGTTGTGTTTTGATCTGACTAATGTGGAGCCTGTGGATGCTGAATGCTAATTTATAAATTATGGGCTTTTTAATTAGCAGAGAAAATAATTAACGTTACACTGACAGAAATCACTCTTTTTTCCCCCTCTCTGTTTTTCCCTGCAGATCTCCCGGTTCCAGCCAGGCTGAGGAGCCCCGTGCCTGGAGCTGGACCCTGGCACTGGGAGGGTGGGAGCAGGGAAGGGGCTGCCATGATTCCCATGAGCCCCCCTGCTGTCCCCAGGTCAGTCCCACCGGCCTCTGCACCCCCTTGGCTGTGACACGAGTCCCCTGAGCCTTTCCCAGGGAGAGATGCCTGTGTTCCATCTGCACCGGGGTGTGAGGGCAGCTGCTCCCCCTCTCCTGCCATCTCCCACCCCATCAGCAGCTCTCCTGCTGCCAGAGGGAGCAGCAAGTCCTCCCAAAATGGTGGTTGAGTGACTGGAATTCCACAGGGAACACGGGCACATCCAGGGTAGGAAGCAGCGTTTGCTCTCCCACTTGGAGCTCACAGGGATCCCTCCTGCTGGACCCCCAGCACGCACACCACAGGGAGCTCTGCCACCCACAACCACCAGGAGAGGCACCAACAAGGGTTTTCATAAGTGTAATTCAGATGATAAACTGGATTTTACCAGACAAATACAACAATTAGATCGGAATCATTTCCCTGAGTGAATCACATCACATCACTAAGTGACTAAAGGCAATAAAAGGATGAAAAGGTGATAAATTGTGCTGTTGCATCCAGAAAGGTAACATTCCTCTACAGGGGACTTTTTTTTTTATTTTATTTTTCCCCAGTTTTTCCCAGAAATACTCTTCACTAAATAACATCCTTAAGATCACAACAATCACAAAAACTCCCTCCCAGCCCAACCCAATGCACAGATGTGACATAATAATGAGCAGCCGTTTGTGCCAGTTCTCTGCCAAGCGCGGGGAGCCCACAGGATTTTGGGGGTGGCCCTGGGAGCTGAGCCCTGCTGCCCTGCTGTGTGAGGTGCCACCTGACAGCACAGAGTCCTGTTTGCACAACATGGGCATGACGGTGCCTGGGATAACTGTGCAAAATGGGGCAATTTGTGCTGAATCCAACGGGGATTTGATGTATTTTAAGCACTGAGAAATCCCTTTAAACGCCCTGGGATCTAATCAGGATCTCTCTCCAGGGCACCCCAGGTGAAGGCCTGAGCTGCCCTCAGCAGGGCCCTCCTCAGCAGTTCTGCCTGGGCTGTGATTTAGCTCAGCTTTGGCTGAGGCAGCGTAAGCAAAAGTGCTTCTCTGAGTAGCTGCAGGCAAAATACTTCAGAGTGAATCAGGGAGGATATTTCAGCTGGACCCAAATCCCCAGCAGCCTCTCCCCCTCACAGCTCTGCCTGGCTTTGGGTCTCTCTGCTGAAGTGCACCCCGGGGACCACCCTGTACCCACATGTTCCTGCAGCACAGCCCGTGTCCCTCTGTCAGGAGAAGGGACATGGTACTGGTCTGCTGCCCTGGCCTTGGACTGGATCCTCAGTGACCCCAAACCTGAGGGATTTATCCTCAGGGTCACCAAGACCCAAATGCCCAAATGGGAACAGCTCTGGAACGTTCCGTGAGCGGTGTCAGCCTGCCCAGGACCAGCTCCTTCCCAGTGCTGTGTTTTACAGGCAGACCAGCCCTCTGTGCTCCCAGAACCCTCCATCCCTGCTTTTCCAGCCCAGGGCAGACAGGCAGCTTTGCTCAGGGCAGCACCAGGTTCTCCCAGTGTTCCTGGACATTCCTGCTCCCACCACAGGACACAAGTGTCTGCTCAGGGTGAGGTGAGCACAGCCTGGTACAGCTCCCCAGTGGCACTTACGAGCACAGGCTGTTAGTTCCTGTCCCCTGGAAATCATCTCCTCAACCCTCCCCTCAATTCCATAATCTGGGAGCGCTGATAATTTCAGACACAGGAAGGCAGAGCAGCCTCACTGAGCTCCTGCCCAGCTCTGCTGTGCTGTGTCTGCTCTGGGTGTCCATGGAACCATGGAATCACACAGTCATTAGGGTTGGAAAAGACCTCCCAGATCATTGAGTCCAACCTTTGACTGATCCCCACCCTGCCAGCTGTACCATGTCCCCAAGTGTCACATCCAGTCACTGGCAGTGCTGGGGAGGGAGGAGCACACCCCCCTTCAGCCCAGGGCAGCCTCTGCCTGCTCTGGAACCAGCACAGGACCACACGTTTGTGGAATGATTTGGGCAGGAAGGGACTGCAAAGTCCATCCCATCCCACCCCTGCCATGGGCAGGGACACCTTCCACCAGCCCAGGTTGCTCCAAGCCCCATCCAACCTGGCCTGGAACACTTCCAGGGATAGGAATTACCCTGACAGCTTCTCTGGGCAACCTGTGCCAGGGCCTCTCCACCCTCCCAGCCAGGAGTTCTTCCATCTATCTGATCTAAACTTGCCCTCTGCCAGTTTGAACCCATTATTACCCCTTGTCCCACCAGTACAGTCCAACATGAACACTTTTGTTTTCTTTGGACAGAGCCAAGAATGTCCTTGGACTTTTCTTGACCTGAAGAGGAGCACCCATCATTTTCCAAGTGCTATTCATGTTTCCATTGCTGCTCCCCAACATTGCATCTTTCTGAGGTTCTGGGGGAGTGAATTATCCCAGCTTTGGGATACTGCCCAGATCAAAAATTAATTCCCTGTTTCATGTCACTTTTAGTGACTCCGAAGATTCCTGTGTGACAAGAATGATCTGCTCCAGGCTCTCCACAGTGTGTTACAGCTATTGCACATTCCAGTGAATCCATTAGAGATTCCAGGGTAAAGCCTGTGCCAGTGGAAGCAGCAGTCCCTCTTTTCTCCCGGGAAAACACCACCCCTGGCAACCCATTCTGGAGACGTGTTTGTGACACCACCATAAATGAGGGGCAGCCAGTGCCATTCCCCCCAGAGGTGACACTGCACCCTGCCCTCGCTGTCCCTCCCTGGCAGAGGTGCCCTCTGTCCCCAGCACAGGGCAGGGACCCAGCCGTGCTCAGTTCCATCCCCACATCCCGGTGTTTGGCTGTTCCTCCACGGCCCTCCCAGGGCAGCAGAGATTAAGTGCAGGCAGTAGATATTTATTAGGTTTGAGACAGTATCCAGGGACCCAGAGCAAATACAATTTACACTTTTATGTGGAGCTGGTTGGAAAAAGACCAAAACCCCACTGGTATTAAAATTTCTACCATTTGCTGCCAGCAGGGTTTTCTCTGAGTGTCCTGGTTGGTTCTGCTGTCACAGAGTGGTGGGCTTAGACCCAGGCTCCTCACGTTTGGGGTCTCAGTTGATCTCATATGTGATTTTAATTTTCATCCATGGAGAGGTACAGTCTGTAAGGAAGCTGCCCCAGTTCCTCAGAGCTGTTTTTGCAGTGTTTGGGTGAGAATGCTGGACTTTATGAAATCTCCCTGGCTGTGTTTCCTCTATGCTAAAAGTGTGATGTGAAAAATAAACACACCACAAAAGCTCAGGAGGTGACAAGCCCTGGCAGAAAAGGGCACACCTGATACCAAGAAGAGGCACAAACAGTGTCAGTGTAGGTGGCTCTGAGCCTCTGGACAGGCTGTGCAGAACCCACGGCCACAGCTGGGGATGGGCCGGGCACTTGGGACACTTCGGGAGATCTCCTGAGTCAGAGACTTGCTGCACCCCTCTGAGAGGGAAGAAATTGTCCCCATGTCCAACCTGAGCCTCCCCTGGCCCAGCTGGAGGCCGTTCCCTCTCCTCCTGTCCCTTGTTCCCTGGGAGCAGAGCCCAACCCCCCCTGGCTCCCCCCTCCTGTCAGGGGGTTGCAGAGTCAGAAGGTCCCCCCTGAGCCTCCTTTGCTCCAGGCTCCTGGCACTGCCTGTGCTTGTTTCAGTGAACACAGACCTGCTCAGGATGGCCTGGGGAGCATCTGTGCCCCGTGCATGTCCCCAGTCACACACTGAGGGGCAGGGAGTGTCCTGGCTCTGTGCTGTGATGGCTGTGACACCCAGGAACACCAGTCCCTCTCTGGAACACCAGTCCCTCTCTGGAACATCAGTCCCTCTCTGGAACTCATCCAGTTGAGCTGTGACTTCTCCCCAGCCACTGTGGAATGATGACAAGTGTACCCAGAGAGAGCCTGGAAAATTGAACATCCCCAGCAAAGATGTCAGATTTGAAATTTAGTCTCACATTAACACACACTCCTTTTTTTTTATCCCAACCTCCCAGTTTCCATTCCCAGCCTCTGGGACAGCTCTGCTCTTCAGCTGCTGGGTTCACACCCAGAGAGGGTTGCCCAGAGAAGCTGTGGCTGCCCCTGGATCCCTGCAAGTGTCCAAGGCCAGGCTGGACGGGGCTTGGAGCAACTGGGCTGGTGGAAGGTGTCCCTGCCCATGGCAGGGGTGGCACTGGATGGGCTTTAAGGTCCTTCCCACCATGGCAGGGCTCAGGGCCAGCTCTGCCACACTGGGCTGACACTGTGGTGTCCTGCACTCCATGTACCCCCTGAGCTGGTCCCATGCCCCAGGGACCCCCCTGGCTCTGCAGGGATCACCAGTGCTGGGCAGGGTGTGGGGCAGCAGCACCTGAGGCAGGTGAGGTGGTGGAACACAGGGGGTTTTACCCAGGGCTGTCCCTGCCCATGTAGCATCCACACAGATGGAGATGTTATTTCCCAACCTGTGGCTCTTGTTTTCCCTGACATCTCTGCACAGGTGAGGTCAATTAAATTTTTAGTATATTTGATGTGGAAAACTCTCTGTAAACACGCTTTGAGTGTCTGCAGAATGAATAAGCAGCAATTTTTGGCTTTGCTTTAGGGAGCTGTGGTAATGCATTTTTAATTGATGGCTGTTTTGGCAGCACAGAGAGAACGATTTGCCAGGGTGGGAGGCACAGCTTGGGAAAGGTCAGCAGGTACCAGATGTTGTCCCCAGCAGCAGCTCAGTGTCTCCTTGCATGGCTGGGGCCATGTTTGTCTGTGAGTGTTTCCTTTCCCCTCCTCACAAGTGCACAGCCCACCCTGGAGCCTGGACCCCGAGTTTGTGCTCCCATGTCAGCACACAGAGACCCTCAGAGTGCCCAGGGTGGGCTGGATCCCCTTGTCCAGGGTGACTGTGGTCCCAGTGCCATGGATGAATGTGGATCCCAGTGTCCAGGGTGGCAGGTCTCAGGCTGGATGTGGTCCCACTTCCTGGGATGGCTGCAACTGCCACGAGCTCTGCCCTGGTTGTGGCTCTCTGGGGTCTCTCCTGAATGAGCTCTGCCCTGGCTGTGGTTCCTTGGGGTCTCTCCTGGATGAGCTCTGCCCTGGCTGTGGCTCTTTGGAATCTCTCCTGGATGAGCTCTGCCCTGGCTGTGGCTCTTTGGAATCTCTCCTGGATGAGCTCTGCCCTGGCTGTGGCTCCTTTGGGTCTCTTCTGGATGAGCTGTCCCCTGGCTGAGGCTCTTTGGAATCTCTCCGGGATGAGCTCTGCCCTGGTTGTGTCTCTCTGGGGTCTCTCCTGGATGAGCTCTGCCCTGGCTGTGTCTCTCTGGGGTCTCTCCTGAATGAGCTCTGCCCTGGCTGTGTCTCTGTGGGGTCTCTCCTGGATGAGCTCTGCCCTGGCTGTGTCTCTCTGGGGTCTCTCCTGGATGAGCTGTCCCCTGCCCACAGGGCCTTAGCCCACTGGTGGCTGCCGGGGTGTAGGGCCAGCCCTGGGTCTCTCCCTCCCACTTCACCTCTGGGATGAGGTGAGCAGGTCCCTGGGGAGGAAGGTGCTCAGGTCTGGTAAGACCTGCAGAAGAAACAGGACTTGAAAAGCCCCCCAGAGCTGCAGGGACCGTGCCCAGGTCACAGGAGGTGTTTTGGTGCTCCAAGTACAGAGCCAGAGGGGCAGGAACCCCCCAGGGGAACGTGCTCACTCACCTGCCTGGAGACTCCTGTCTGACAAAAGCTTGTTAGAACAGTCACCTGTCGGTCCCTTTTCAGAAATGTTTCTCTTCCTGCAGAGATATTCCAGCTCAGCTGATCCCACTCTGGCAAGGAAGGATTCCCTGGGGAGGGCTCACCTGGGGCACAGCTGGTTTGTGACCTACAGCTCCCACAAGACACCAGACTGCAGCTAAAGGGCAGAAAGGATCCACGAGGAATGACAGGGAAAGAAGCTAGGATGTGCTGGGTTATTGCTGCTAAAGGTGATCTGTTTGCCACAGTCCAGGAACAGCAGTGAGGGTGGCAGGGAAGATCCCAGCAGATCCCTGTGCAGCTCCCAGGGTGCACAGTGGTCAGGGATGGGCCTGGCAGGGAGGCACCACAGCAGCATCAGGAACAACCAGGATAACCAGCAATAACCAGGATAACCAGCAATACCCACCCATGAAAGCCACCGGGGGCTGAGACTGTGTCACCAGCAGCTCCTCTGCCCCTGCTCTGGGCTGGGGAGAGGAAAACTCCTTTTGTTGAGGCACAGCTTTATCTTCAGCCAAAGCGCAGCCAGAAAAAGGAACATTTTGCTTTTCCATCCCAGAGTGCTGGCCCTGCTTTTAGATCTGAGATGAGGCAGCCTAATTGGTCATTTATCCCTTTAGCTTTTGATTTCTCTCCTGAGAGCGCTGCATAAACTGTTTGTGTGCTCTAAGAAATGCCTTAAGTGGATGACAGAGCTCGGGATAAGCAGTTCCTGCAGCTCAGCTGCCACTTACTCACTGCTCACTTCAGCACTGCTGGCATGGGGCAGCAGAGGGGCTGGGAATGCTGTCAGAGCCTGGGAATGCTGTCACAGGCTGGGAATGCTGTCACAGGCAGGGAATGCTGTCAGAGCCTGGGAATG